TGTGAATAACATTATGAATCTAAACTACTCACAGCAGCAACCAGGCTGGGATCCTACAGGCTGAAAACACAATCCTTGAAGAGACATTGTCTATCTTACAAAACCTTTGACAATATGGGTATTCATGATGGCCTAGACCCAAGAGATGCCTTTCAAAGCTATTATTCGAAATTAAAGCCCATTTTAAAAACATCAGAAAATCAGAACTATATTCACATAACTCCAAGAAGTCTCACTACAATTTAATCATCAAATCATGTCCAAAGGAAGCAGTTTACCAATCTAAACTGTTCATGCATTTAACAGGACGACTAGTATTGTCAACAGCTAGACCTCGCCAATATTTATCAAATCTACTACTCTGGCAGATCCTATAGAACAATTTCCAGCAACTTGAAATTGATAACTAGGCAAATTTAATGACAAAATTATTACGGCTCATTCAAAATATAACACTTTTTACTTACGTAAATCAGTTAACTCTATTCATAATCATTTATAACATTTCCATGGATTCAAACAAGAAAACTGACCAGCCAGATAAACAGTTTGATGGTCTAAATATAACTTCAATGCTCTTTCATGTCTGTAGTTTTATGAATGCACAAGAAACTTAAAGTCTTAAATAATTTAATCTTTTATCTTTCATACAAGACTGAGCTCCTTCAAGAACAGGATTATTTTTCTTATGTGTAATCACAAAAACCACAGAGTGCCTGCTCTATTAGGTGTCACATATTTGTTACCTTCACTCCTCCAAACAATCCTATGAAGTGAACCTTATAACTTCATAGACGAACAGATTCTAAAAAGCAGCCATACGCTCAAAGCCAATGTGATCATCTCAATTATTTTCCAGCAAATATTTATTTCAGTCCCCTTCTCACTGTAAATGAAGTGAATGTCAGTAGTGCTGACTTTGAGGTTTCTCAACGTCAGCACTACTGACATTTGGGGCCCGGTAATTCTTAGTTGGGGGGCTGGAGGTGCACGGAGGCTGACTGTCCTGTGCATTATAGGATGTTTAACAGTATCCCTGGACTCTACCCACTAGATGCTAATAGTACCCCCTCTCCCAAGTTTAGACACTGAAAGTATCTCTAGCCATTGCCAAATGTCCCCATAGGTAAAACTGCCACCAGCTGAGAATCACTGGGCTAATGGAAAGGAACAAGAGCAGAGGCCTTATACATGCTTATGCAATTTGGCTTGGATCTTGCATTCCAGTGGCCTGACATAACAGCATGCCCTAAGCAGCCACTGCCCGCTTTAGCCTGGGTCCAGCAGGAACATAAATGGAGAAGACCTAAACCCACCCACAATTAACCTCAATCAAGCTAGGCTCCACCTTAATCAGTATACCCTCAGCCAACATACAGACCCATGAGCACAGAAATAAATGATTATTATTTTAAGCCACCCAGTTTTAGAGTGTTTTATCATGGAGCATTATTGTGGCAATTGTTGACAAATACAGCCAATAAAGGGAGAAGCCAGAATTCAAAAGCTAGGCTTATCTGACTAAAAAACCTACTGTCTTTACTATATCAAAGAGTTTTTTCAAAAGAATTAAATATTCTCACCCAGAATGTGCTTGGTACACAGTAGAGATGTAACAGAAGTCTGCTTTATTCATAAGTATTAATTCTGTAAAAATTTTAATACATTTTCAGTGGCCTATTCATATCAGCTTCTCATTCTTACATCATGAGGTCAAACTTCAAAAACATTGCATAGGGCACTACAGCACTGCTTCACTTCTCAGACCTTGAGTCTGAGACTTTCTTCTCCTATCAGTTTCAGAGCTCTGCACAGCTAAGTTCAAAACACTATCTCTAACTTAACACTGACTTCTGTAGGTAACGTGCTATGTGCAAATGCAAAAGACAACAGGTTTAAAGAAAAAGAAAAGTTGAACAATATCTGAAAGAATGAGTTTCATACAAATATGCACAAATACTTACTGTGCATACACCATTTACCAGACACATTCTAAGCACTGGAAATACGGTACTGAAAGACAAAAAGATTCCTGCCCTGACAGAGCTTCCATTCTTGTGACACACAGCATAAAGACATTTTCCAAGTGCTTCACTCATATTAACTCTTTCGTCTTCATTATCTTGTGAGAAGTTTAATATCTCCATTACAGAAATGAGAAAACTGAACACCAGGAATGAAAAGTCACAAAACATCATCACTTCCCAGGCTTTTGGTTAAGATCAAGTGTAACACCAAAGCCACAAAACAAGCAGCAAAACTAGCTAGAAGTCTTGACTCTGAGTTCCTACTTTTGACCACGGCATGACACTGCCCCTCTGCTAACTCTCTAACCTCACATCTTACACTTCCCAAGCACGTTCCTGCCTGAGTCAGCTGTACTTGCTGTTCCCTCTGCCTGGAATGTTTTTCTCCCAGATGGTTTTCATGCCTTCCTCCCATCATTCTGTTCCTGTCTCTCCATTCCCATCATATTATAAGAGATTTCTTCCCTGATTACCCTTAAAAATGAATACCTCCTTCCATACACAGTCACTATTCATCTGTCTACCCCACTTTATGTTTCTCCGTAACACTGATTACAGCTATAGATTCATTTGTTTACTGTTTGTCTTTGCCACTGAGATGTCCACTCCACGAGACCAGTGACACTGTTTAATTCATCACTTCACCACTTACCGTTTCAGGCCTCCTGAAATGATGATGCCTGGCAAAATAACCAGGTACATGATCACCTACCTCTCAGTCTGGCTGACCCTGCCCCCGCTCCAAAAAAAAAAAACCCAAAAAACTTAGAGGAGTGATTCTCACACTTCAGCAAGCATCAGAATTATCTACAGGGCTTAACAGGCAGATTGCTAGGCCTCACCCTTACCCCAGAGTTTCTGATTCAATAAGTATGGAAAGGGGCTTGAACATTTACAGTTCCCAGAAAGCATAGAAACTATGGTCCAAGGAGTGTGTTTTGAGAATCACCGATCAAGACAAATATCATGCTCCAACACACCTGTCAGTAACAGTAGTTCACTGTGGCAAGAAGTCACAACTGGAGGAGGAAGGAAAGGAATATAGTGAAGAGTTGCCCTCTAGACTCAAGTCCTGACTTAGAAGACTACATGAAACATATGTCTTTTAAATAATGCATAACTATCCCTTCCTTGAATAGGATTTCCTTTTTTAAGAGATGGAACCAGACAGATCAACATTATATTCTCTATCAAGGTCTTACATATTCTATGTTAATGCCCACTGCAGAAACATTATCCCTTAAGGTTTAAATAAGCAAAACAGACAGTTGCTAACCTTTCTGGAATAGTGAAAAACCTAACAGCAGTAGACTCCAATTGGAACAGCTGCCCAAATCACAATTTCCCATCTCTACAAATAATCCTAATACCCAGGGTAGGCTCACAGTGGTCGTGTCTAGGTAATGGTAGGTAACTTCACTTCCCCAGTCAGAAAGGCCCAGAACACATTCACTCTTCTAAGAATTTTAAAGATAAAGTCTGGGAGGCACCGATGCCAAGTTATGTCAGCAAGGCTCTCAACCGAGAAGCTCCACAAACTCCTGCTGCTCAAGTTCTCAGATGCCCTCGTTCCTAGCCTAACATGGCACTTTGTTTTCCAACTATTCCTTTAATCCTCTGTGTTACTCAATAATCTTCCAACCAACTCCTCTTTTCCTACATTATCCAAGACTATTTGTGTATTTGCAACCAAATACCTATAAAACCAGAATAAATGTATATAACCTTTTTAAAAAAAAAAAAGTTATATAGATCAATTTTTGCAAATTGTAATGTAACCACAAAGTATCAAAGCTTTTTCCTATTAATTCAACTTAAGACATTTCTCATCTAGAGACTAGTGTTCTGTCCATATAACCAATGCATCATAGAGCACAACATCGTATTTCTGACATTATAATAACTCCTTTTTTCATCTGCTTTCATAAAAGTCCTCTGAAATTTAGCAAAAAGCCACCATCTTTTCTTGGTTTATTCAACAATTATTGTTACCTATTATGTGCCAATATTACGAGGGATACAGCAGTGAATAACAAAGACAAGATTCTTGTTTTATGTACACCTTACATTCTTCTGGGGAGACAGAGAGAGAGAGAAAATAAACCAGAGATATGCCCGATTATAAGTGCTATTGCAAAGAAAAAAAAAAGACAATGTGAAACAGTGAGTAGCTAGACAGATGGCTTTTAAATAAAAAGGTCAGGGGAAGCCTCTCTGAAGTGACATTTGAGCTAAATTCTTAATGACAAGAAGCAGCCAGCCAGAGATCAGAGCACAGCTAACATAAAGGTCCCTAAGACTGGGAACAGACTTAACTTGCTCTAAAAGCCAAAAGAGGGCCAATGTGACTACAGTGTGGTAAAGAAGAGGGAAAATCATTTAAGATGAGGTCAGAGAAATAGAATGGACCGTATCACATAGGGTTTTGTAACAAAAAGCAAAGAATCTGGATTTATTTAGAAATTAACAGATATTAGGAAAAGGAGGCTATTTGCAAGATGTTTATAGAGAATAGTTGAACAATGGACTAAGATGAGGGGAAATCAGATTACAAACAGTGGTTTCAATAAAAATTTTAGAGCTGAAAGGAACCTTGTAGTCCAACACCTTCATTTTACAGAAAGAATGCTGTGGCCCAAGCTGTGGCTTCTTGAAGGTCAGATTAAAGATGAGCAGAGTTGTGGTTGGTGCTCTGTGACAGTCAGGCCAGAGTGCTTTCCACAATTCCTCATTCAGTTTTGAAACCCAAGAGTCTATACCATGTGCATTTCCAAAGTGACATAGCAGCAATCAAATGGAAACATATTTAGAAAGAAACTTTTTAAATTATCCATGCCAAATTATTCACACTTCAGTTGATGACTGCATTTTTTTAAAGTGGCTAATAATGCTTAAGTATTTACCACCAAATATATCTCGTCCCAAAATATGTGAAGCAGAACAAAATTGAATAAAACAACAAAATATACTTACATCTGGGTATTCTTTTACAGGCACATAAAGTTTCTCTTGTAACTGAACAATAGGTCCCACAGCATCAGGCAATTCTGCACTCCTTTTCTCTGTACTGCCATTTAATGTGTCATTGTACATGTCTTTCCGTACTCTGCTAATTTCTGTTAAAAGTAAAAATTTTAAATGTGTTAGACAAAAAAAATATTCTTGCTAGTCCAGGGGAAAAAGAGAGGGCAGGGGAGGTTTCATTGATAAAGCGTTAAAACTCAAATAAAGAGCTCCTGGCCTATTCTGTCATTCTCTGGATTAAGCCCATGTTTAACAGGACTACAGCCTTAATTAATTTCTACCACAAACCAATTTTTATACCAATCAAATAACATATCTTATTAAATTAACTTCAAAGCCCAAGCTCCTTCCTAAGCGGTATAATATGGACTTGTTAGTTTATCTAATTTTTCCAAATCTAAATGAGGCCAGTCATTCCAAATGATAGCTTCAGTAAACAACTATAAGAATGCCTGTCAGACAAAACTAATACCAAAGCCTCTTTTGTATTTCAGAACTAATCTGTCTGAAGGACATTTAAATGGGACCACTTCGATTATTTTTAGATATCTTTAGAATACCCAAACAGAGATGTTCAAAAGACAACAGACTGCAAGTTCAGCAGAAGTCTGAGTTTCATATACAAATCTAATGGTTAAAGCTATCAGAAGAGACGTCTTAGAGCAAGTAACGGGAGAAAGAAGGACGGAATGCACTTGAGAAAAAGGAAGGGGTAAGGAAAAGAAGATCCAAACCAAGAAGAAATGGAGGTAGGAAGGAGAACTAGAGAAGAGGGGTGTTATAGAAGCTAAGAAATGACAGATTCAAGGACAAGGTGATCAACAGTATCAAATACTACAAAAGAATGTAAGATAAACAGCAAAAGATGGTACCTTGGATTTGACTATAAGCCACTGGTGATCAGAGAAGTTTCAAGGGAAAAAGATGGTAACAGATCAAACTACACTGGGTTAATAACTGAAATATTAAATATAAAAAGAGGAAGTAGTGATACCTAAAATCAATGACCTGTTTTTAAAAACCTGTATTACTGTTCTTGGATATACATATACATTTTTTTTTAAGTAGGCGAATTCTATTTTAATGAGCCGAGTACTATAAAGAAAGCGGATCCTTTCAAAAATTACTAAGCTTCTAGTATGCACCAGAAGACAGGCTCCTGTCCATTGGAACATACTGCCTAGTAAGAGTTGTCATTATTAAGGTTAGCCGGATGCATATGTAATGTCTCTCTATCCTACAGACTGTGTCCTCCTTGGGAGAAAGGCTTGCATCCATTAGTATTTAAAAATAAAATGTCTTTCATTTTTTAAATGTATTTTGAATGCTTTCCAAACATGGGGAAGTTCAATCTATTGACAGTTCCTTAGGAACTATCAAATATGAAGGCACTCTTTAATTTTTCTAACTAGTTATTTAAATCAGTTTTGGTTAAATAAAATGTAACACAGCAAAAAGGCAGGATCAAAGCTATTCTTACTCAGTTATAAAATCTTAATCAATTAAAAAAGGCACTGTAATACATTTTCTGCTTCAGTGATACCAATATTCATTTTATAACAAATTTTATCTCTTAAATAACAATTTGCTTATTAAAGCTTACCAAATGCTTTTCTCTGAATAGCAAATAAAATCAACAAAAATCAAGAGATTACCTTGGATTTGACTACATGATACGGGCAGAATTTTATTATTTCCTAAGGTTCTTTTTATACTTCTAGCTTTATAATTAAATCTTTCCTAAAAATGTCCAGTATCAAATTGGTGTTTATCTTAAATTAGCATATGACAGCAATTCTCAAATCAAGTTTTCAACAACCAAATAATAATTTAAACACAAATGCTCATTTACATAATTTATATAACTACAGCAAGTAATTAACCAAGGGGCATTAGAAAAATTTAATCTAATTAAAATCACACATATATCCTTTAGCCAGGTCTCTGGACCAATAAAGCACTTTGCGTATAATTATCATTTAAATATCTTCTTCAGAAACTACCTATTCTTACTATATAGTTAGCATCACGCCAATATCAAAGCCTGCGAATAACAGCAGGAAAGAAAACTATAGATAAAATTTGCCTAAAAATATAGATGCAAACATCTGAAATAAATAGAAAAATAAAAATGCACTAAGACATAGTAGAATTTATGCCCTGAGTGCAAGAATAGTTCAATATTGAAGAATCTACTATTATAAGTAACCATAGTAATATAATAAATCTAGGGAAGAACAGTGACTTTCCAGGTAAACAAATTTATCAAACTTAAAAAAAAAAAAAGAATCTATTGCAAATTATCAAAAAATTCATATAAGATGACTAGATTAAAAAATATATAAATGTGCCAGGTGCAGTGGCCCATGCCTGTAATCCCAGCACTTTGGGAGGCCGAGGCAGGCAGATCACTTGAAGTGAGGAGTTCGAGACCTGCCTAGCCAACATAGTGAAACCCCGTCTCTACCAAAAATATAAAAATTAGCTGGGCATAGTGGCGGATGCCTGTAATCCCAGCTGCTTGGGAGGCTGAGGCAGGAGAATCACTTGTACTCAGGAGGTAGAGGTTTCAGTGAGCCAAAATGGTGCTACTGCACTCCAGCCTGAGCAACAAGAGCAAAAAAACTGTCTAAAATAAATAAATAAATAAATAAATAAATAAAGCATAAAACCAACAGTCCTCATACGTGAGCATCTATCTGGTTAGAGAATACAATTCATTTACCACTTAAGTTGTACGTTTATAAATACCTATGCGACTCTGATTAATAACACAAAGTTCCATGAGATTCTATTACCCAGTGTGTCCCCAGGTGCCTGGAACACAGCTGGCCCTCAATAAATACCTGGTGGAGGTAAACAAAGGGAAGAATGCTGGGTTTCTGCAGCATTAAAGTTAAACAAGTCATGGTCCCAGCTCTCAAATAACTTACTCTAATAAGGAAGACAGATAAGTCTTTTTACCATCTTTTTTTCAGTCTCTAAGATATATCACTCAATTTCATAACAGAACACCAATTAATGTACAAGGTAGTAATGATGGGAATGAAAAGGTGACCAAGACATAGTTCCAGTCCTCAAGGGCTTTATAATCTTATTCACTGTTGAGTTTGGCCAATTATTATAAACAGGAAAAAAAAAAGGTAGAAAATCACCAGCACTTCCTCTGTGTTACTCAGAACAAGTTCTGATTCCAGTTCTAACAGTAACTGTGATTTTAGACAAGTCCCTTTCTTACAACCTCTCTGTGCCTGTGCTTCATATGCTTACTCAATAAATGAACTGAATCCATTGGTTTCCAATCTTAGTATGCAAGAGCCCATTTATTCTTTTCCTCCGTAATCCTGTTTTTAAAAGTTTTGTCTTTAAAGCTTTCCATTTGTAAGTCCTGGCAATCAGAGCTTCTGCGAATGTTATCCTAGCAGGAGGATACAATTATAGCCAAACTACTATAGAAACATGCAACAAGTATGGGTTTGGGAAATGCTTTAGTCCTTTTGTAAGTAACAGCTTCACAGGTGTTCTCATGAAACATAGGAATTCTTCTTAATATGTTGTACACATTATTTTGCTGTATCAAACATTATGACACTCAAATGCCCCACCACCGCGCTACCTTCATCAACCCGCAGCAGTTGTTCAGAGAACTAAACATTCAGAACAGTTTGCTTAATCACACGTAGTACAAAAACTCTCCCAATATGAACTCCAGGCATGTATTTTCTATCTAAATATCCCCAATATCAAGATAAATTTTTAGGTATCTCTAAAGATCTTAAATATTATAAATTTGTTTTAATAAACCAAAATCTGCTCTCCTAAAATTTCTACCACTGGCCACCACTCAGCAGCCCCACAAACATTTGAAAAATTCTAAAATATCTAAGTGTCCTCTTCCCTACACCAACGACATGGGAGGCTGTTTAGACGAACTCTGTTTAGACGAACTCTGATTTGTCTAGGTCCCTTTTAATATGTAAAACCCTACATTGTACACAACATTCCATAATGACCAACGGGTAAGGCTACTGAGGTTATCAACTTCTAGTCCCAAACCCTGCCCTGTCCATAATCACTGTTTAAGAGCTGATGATGCTTAAGAATATCTTTGCTGACATTTTGCTAATGGTGTTAAGACAAGTCTCTACCATTCCATAATTCTACATCTGTTTTTTAGACACCAACAGAAGATTTCAATTTTTTTTTCCTGGATATTTTCTGCAACACATACCCCTTCAGCAGACTGACACTAATCTATCAGCTGATACTCTTTAAGCATGAATAGTCTCCCAGTCAAGAATCCAACTAACTGCAACTTTATAGAGCACACATTTCTTTGGCCCAGATCCCAAAATACAGGCACACCTTGGTGAAGAGTGAAACATCGTTTCAAAAATAAATAAATAAATAATACATACTCTAGTAACTTGCTTTTTAATCTAGTTGCTCTCTGTACCTTGCGAATTTGGCCTCTTAAAAAGAGCACAGTGAAGTTAAATTCCATGGGTTGTTCTTAGCTCAAAAATAACTTTTTTTCATCAACTACTTGATGAAATCCAAAGCTACAACGGGACCAGAACCTCCTTGGGGAGCCACCAGTTTAAATAGGAAATCATCTGTTTAGGAATCTACAGGTTATGCCATCAAGTTCAGAATACACATTTTTCAAGTTTTGGGAGTACTTGCCTTTACAGAACTTATGCTCCTCCCATTTTCTACAATCTTTTGAATTTTCCTTTTTTTTTTTTTTCAAATTTCACTATGCTGAAAACTATTGTGTAGGCCTGAAAACGTGTTACTACTTACTGTCTCATCACATTTCTCTGCTTTAATTATCTTGATTTTTTTCTTTTCCAAACTAAGGTTCAACTGTCAGTTAATTCTGCTCCGATGTCACTGCACAGTTCTGTTTCATGTGACCTTTACTCCTTTTTCTTTCCCCTTAATTCACCCAACTATGGATTTCGCTAAAAGGTTTTAAAGTCATTCTTATGTTTCAGCAGCCTCAGCTCACGTTTGTCTTTGGCTTTTCCATCACCACTACTCTTTTATTGCATCCAAATTATTGTACATGTACTCTGCCACTTTTGTA